TTATGAGGTAGCCCTGAATAAACAAGAATATTCTGTATGACATCAAGAATATTCTGTGATATTGGACGATATGCTGGACCCATAGTCAGCGCAAAGATTACTTATGTTACAATGATGTGGAGTAGTGAGTATGGTAGAGGGGATACTATATTTCAATAAAATCAAAAAATAATTAAAAATATATCGCATGAATGCTTACAGTTTAACTTTGAAAATGATCAATTCTGCCATTGAGTCCCATGTGTTTGGAAAATGTTTCGTGCCTATCATATGTGCAATTTAATCCTAATATGAATAGCACAAAAAATTATTTTTGTATATTAACATTTACAGGTTTTCCAAATTGTTTTATAAATCCAAAAAGTGCATTATTTTCCCTTTTTATTGATTTTAAAAACTCTTAATAAACCCCTTAAACTTTAATTTTTAAAAATTTTTTTGTTCTATACATATTAGAATTTATTAGCGCTTATGATAGGCACGAAACATTTTCAAATATTTAATTTTATTTTCCAAACACATGGGAATCTATGGGGGAATTGACCATTTTCAAAGTTAAACTGTAAGCATTCATGCGATATATTTTTAATTATTTTTAATTTTTTGATATTATTGAAATATAGTATCCCCTCTACCATACCCACTACTCCACATCATTGTAACATAAGTAATCTTTGCGCTGACTATGGGTCCAGCATATCGTCCAATATCACAGAATATTCTTGTTTATTCAGGGCTACCTCATAATGAACTTTAAATGTGCCACAATATAGATTTTAGCTACAATTAATAAGCGAGCAATTAAACAAATGATCGTTGCAGATTTAATTGATCCACTTTATATTATGATTTTAATAATAAATTGTATGAGATACAATTATGGTCAAATCTATGTCGGATCGGGAAAAGTTAAATAACTTTTGCTGGGATAATTCAATCTTTAATCCGTTTTCACTGAATTGTATTTGGGTAATGCCCAATTGTGGCAATAAACTATTAACTATCTCAATTCATCAAAACAAATTAGTAATTTAATTTCACAGTTTTACCAATATTTGTCATTGAAATTACACGTGTGTTTTACTTCATTTCTCGTAAACTACTCTAAACGGTCAATATTCTTAAATATCTATATCATGATCATTTAAAAATTAAAACCCCTACCTTCCAGCATCTGATGGGCGAGTATGCGGAGGCGCCCTCTTTCATGCTCGCGCCGAACGACTTCACATGCGTCAGACAGTTGACAAGCGACTCCTCCCGGTGGCCCAACTTGGTCTCCAGCTGGGCAACCTCCTTTTTTGTCGCCTCGATATCCTTGTAATACGAGTCGAGGCTCTCACTGACTTCACGCTCCACTTCGTCCTTCATCTTCATGGCTGCGTCGAGGGCGGCAGACGCCTCCGCGTACGCGGCCGAGTATCGGGCGTACTTTTCGTTCAAGTCCTTGAGCACCGCGTCCTTGGAGTTGACGGTGCCGTCTTCCCGGGCGATGAGGTTGGCCCTTGAGTTGATGACGCTGGTGTAGAATTTTTTATCGTCCTCCTTGTTCGGATTTGTCACCTAGATAGATAATTATATAACTTTTATTTAATCCAAAAAATATTGTCCAAAACTGTGTTGTATAATATTTGTACACAAGCAAGTATATTTACTATTGTTAAGATTAAATATTAAAAATATTTATTATTTTCTAGCCAGAATTACACAAAAATTATCTTAATAATTTTGGTAATAATTTTGGTTTGTACCACGCCAACCTCCCACTCTCAATCATTAACGCGGGATCATTGTATAACTTAAATTTGATTGGCTTATTTTACTTTGATAATGACAACCATATGGTATAATAAATGACGAACCTCTACATCGATCACTTCTGACCCTTTCCTCGACCACATTCCCCAAAGGACCTTATGAGTTGACTTAACTGTGCGCTGTTCCGTAACCTTTTCCGGAATATTCTGTATTTTCTTATTTATTTCCATATTCATGTCCATTAACTCCAGTTTCTGTCGCTCAATTTCACTAAGCTCCTTTAGTACCGCATTCCGTTTAGTAACAACCACATTCATCAAATTTTCGTAGCGTAACTGATCACCTATCGTCGCAGGTTAATCGAAAATAAAAATAATCCTGTTAAAAAATATCGCAACCATAATAATTCTATTACACTAACCTTGGACTTTGGATAAATTATAAAGAAAATCTTTCTTTTTTTCGAGCTCAATGTTGATTTTATCATGATACTTCACCAGATCGTCTACCTTTTTGCCCGCTTCCTTCCCTGCCAAATCCATTACGATCCCGATGCTTTCTTTAAATTGCTGCATTCCTTTGCCGGTCAAGGTTTTGGCTCTAGCGATGCAGTCATCTATTTTTTCCATTGCCTCCGGTATCCGGCGCTTAACTATATCGATGCCTTCTTTGCTGCCTATAAAAAAATATTATTTTTCACTTTAATTAGAATAGTTTTTAAATATAACAAGTCTTTACAAATGTTCAACATTATTAATACAATATGTATTATATAAACTTGATAGTTTTCATATCATTGATAGATATATGGTAAAATGCATGCTCAAACTCGAAATTGGTTTTCGGAACACACATTAATCAGATTTAAACCAATTAACCACGAAATAACCCATTTTATCGGGAATGCTTTCTAACGTGAAGTGTATCTCAAGCTATACACAGCTTATTTCTCCATAGAGATTCTTGAAAATGCCAAACTTTATTCTGGAGATTAACTCTTTGAAAGTGAATAATATGGGCCCCACAAATAATAAAAATAAAATGACCACGCTATTTTGTTCATTAATAATACACATTTCAATTAAAATAATTAAAGTTCGCAATTAAACTTAAATTCAATTTATAAATTGCATTTAGATTTACTGCAGATTTCACTTCCCAAAAGTTACAGTATTTATGTGACATTTAAGGGAAATTTTAGGGAATTTGGTTTAAGGGAATCCCGTACGTCTAAAAAGGGAATCCCGTACATCCAAAAAGGGAATCCCTTTCCGTATATGATTTCTGATTCCCTTTCCCTTACAGTTCGCTTAAGGGATTGGGAGGGGAAAAGGGATCCCGACTTTGACCTGTACTTCGCGTTTAGTAGTTGTGAATAAAAACCTATAATTAAAACTTTGACTCCAAATGTCGGACACCGTTGCGATGAACGATGAGCTGATTATTGGTGTTAATGAACTCAATCAATACATTGCGTACAATTAAAACTTTAATTTCATTTCTAATTAAACTCTTATGTAATTGTTATCTAGGTGAAATTTAGTTTGGTAAGCGATAATGAAGTTCTAAAGAAACGTGTCCGATCAACCACGTGCGTTTTAAAATGTCCCTGGGTGACAATCTCATTGGTGCTGATAATCGTTATGTTTAGTATGTTATTAGGATTTACCCCTAAAAAGCCAAAACCAAATAACTAACTGATCAAGGAACATTCAACTACAACAGTTTTACTAATTAAATTAAAAATTTTCGCTGGTTAATTAGTTAACTTGAGTTTTGGTCTTAATTAGTTTTGCTTATAATTTAATTTATTATTATATTAGCTGTATTGTTGACAATGGTAATATTGTTACACAAGCAAGGCACTTTATTGAAACAACGTCTCGATGAATACGACACACGTTTACAAACAAATAGCAGCGAAACTGACACTTACCAAGAACAATTAACCGATCACCAAAAACAACTCGATTCTGCTAAAATGCAACTGGATGCTAATATAAAAAACATCGCGGATACAAATTCTCTAATTAATACTACCCAGGGTACAATCAATACAAACTCACAAAGTCTAGTATCTATTCGCACTGAAATTAGCGAGATCAAACGAGATCATCAAATTCCCATTGGATTTATATACACCCAGTATCCTGGTCAGCCCTCTCCCCATACGCTATGGCCAAAGTATCACTGGGACAATATCACGCCAAACTTTGCTGGCTTATTTTTCAGGGCTGAAGGGGGTACGAGTAATAAGTTTGACGGGGGTGAGCAAGCACAAAGTGATAATCACCTGAAAATTATAAAAAGTTGGCTTGGTGGCAATTACAACAGGATCACTAATTTTGAAATGCAGCTTGGTAAATTCAGTAACGATGTGGTAACCGGTGGCCTGACGGGTATAATATTAATATGCAATTCTTGGTGGCAAACTCCGAGGTTAGACCACGTAATCAGGCCATTAGGATATGGAAACGTATTCGTTAAATTGGGGTATAATATAAGCGAGCACATTTAATTTTATACACATTTTAATTTTAAATATATCATTAATACATTTAATGTTATAATAAGATACCACAAATATTTTAAACCCATTTCATGAGATAAAATAACTAATAAATAACTTTTTAGCATTTATATAATTAAACATGGTTATTAATTGTATTTTAATGCACACACATTGTATAATCATAATAAAGTAATTGTATAACGTTTATAATAAATATCGATAAAACACTAAATAAAACTTTTATTGCAATTATTGCTACGAAACCAAAGCCATTGTTATATTATACGATATGCGCAGACATTGTAATCGGGACCACATTAACAGTGACCAAATTGAATATTATAAAATTAGTCAGTAGAGATCAATTAAGTATAATTAGCAACGAATATTAGCAAGTTTAATTGATTTATAATTACAAATATCTGTGTCAAAATGTCTGCAAACGTATCCAACGATTTGGTGGTCGACGAGGAGGTGACCACCAGTTTTGACACTCAATTCAACACACAGATTTCAAATCAAATTTTTTTGTTTCATTTCTCAATTGAATAAAACTATTATTTAAATGCATTTCTAGGGAACCGATGGCTTGTGTCCGCAAATGGATTATCTTGTGCTCCAAACCAGAAGTGATGTGGTGTTCAGAGTTGGCGACAAAACCTTACCGGCCCTCAAAGATGTACTCATTATGAGAAGCCCTTACTTTCGGTCACTGTTTTCGGGAGACTTTAATGAAAGTCAGACCAATGAGGTTGACATCAAATACACCACTTTTGAGGCATTTAAGGCATTCCTCGGCTTCTTTTATACATCGGAACTGCCTTTCGATAACACCGAAGAAGACACTGATATCGATTTGGATCTACTATTGAATGTCTGTATACTCGCCGACAGATACCAGACCCCATCTCTACTCATAAAAGTGGTCAAACATTTCCGAGGGATAGTCTCGTACGAGAACCTGGAGTTTGTGTCCAGAGTTGGGTTCGCCTACGACCTCAAGACATTGACTGCGGCGGTGAAGGAGTTCATACATAAGAATTACAGGCAATTGATCGTTAAGGACACGGATTACTTGAAACGTGTCGACCGCCTCACCGGTGGCTATCTCTTGGAGAAACTGTTACCAAATGGTCACCAAATTAAGGTCACCAAGGTAGTTATCGGGTATGAAAGAAAGAAAGGAAGGTATCAATATCCAATCTACGAAAACGTTTATTACGTGCCCGATCACCAAGATCATTTGCGACTTGTTTATAATGTAAATCATTAATTATTTTCACAAATTTACTAACTAATCACGTATTTCATGTGCGATATAGATCAGACGGGATAGTTTATTATTTTATTTAGTAGCACAGAGTTTGAAAATAAAAAACATTTTTAAGTTTTAGTTGTACATGTGCAAATTAATTTCGCAAAAGTTTCGAACATTTCGAGTGGAGTTTATCCGACAAATAATAGTAATAGAAGTTATAATCGCATGAATCGCTCGAAATCGTGGATTCAATATGTGATCGAAATGTGGCCATCATTTCGGTTGTAATTTGCATATTATGTGCGAAAATACGGTCCAATTCATTGACCATTACTTGTGTGGATATTTGTGCGAAATTTTTAAGATCACTTATATCATTGGGTTTGACTTATTTCAAATTATGTCAACTAGTGATGTATAAACTGAATTCATTTTAAGCGCTGAACAAATTATTTATACAACTACTCAACACTAGTTATTTATACCTTTATATGTTTTAGTCATAAACATTACAAATATAACAGCTGAAAATTATTAAAAGTTTTTAATCATAAAATTAGTATATAATCAAGTTTAAGTTCAAGTTATACTAAAAATTGTTTCAACATTCATGTATTAGTAATTTTAAATATCTATTAAGTTTATTATGACAAATAGCTAAGGTTCTTACAAATTTATAAGTGTATCAAGTATAGGTGATTAGGATATTAGTTTATCATCACTATTTTTAGGTGATTTTTACTTTTGGAACTCAATGATATAGACCATAATTTTTCGTGTATTAAGTTTATAGAAAAATGTGTGTTACATAACATTTAATAATTTTTATCTTTAGTTATTTAATATATTATATTCATTGTGTTATTGAACTGATGACCTCAACCCTAGTAGTAGTGATCTGTCGGTTGTATTGATTGTAAACCCAAACCCAGAATCGACTCTCAATTATCCAAATAATAAAGTCTTTGCCATTTGTGACAAACCATACACCAAACAGTCCTCCAGTATATGACATATAGTCTGTTAGAGACATAACCGGTTCCTCCCGATAGACATACAGGGGTTGTGTTGAGTCCCAAATCAATGACTCCTCGATATATTTTTCACTATCATTTAGATTATGCCAATAATTATTACCAATTTGTGTGTCCGTTGGTATGAATCGTGTTTTATATTCAATAGTTAGACAATCTTTAGGACAATAGTTCAAACAAATTACATGAATATTATTATTATCAACTTCTTTTTGAAAGAGTTTTTCACTACTAATTAAATAACAAAACCTTTTACTAAAATTCTTCTTAAAATCTAATTCATGTAAATAATTTTCAATAAAAAATGGATAACATTTATGGTATCGTTCCCAATAGGATCCGATACAACGTCTCATACACTGTGTATGAGATGTGGAACCGAATGGTTGTTCACCAGTACTCCCGTCATAATAACTACAGTTTCCGTNTACTCCCGTCATAATAACTACAGTTTCCGTGAGGTCTCCCTAAATAATTTCTTAGAGTTTTGCTCACAATTATCGTTTCATTGAGTGTATTATGATCGGGATATTCCACGATTCCTTCATCTAAATAAGGGTATGACTGAGAGTGTAGTATTATATTTAAATCTACTATGCCCTCATAATTTTGTCTAATTTCCAGAAATTTACTTCTGTTATTAATTGTGAAAGGTATAAAATGTGTTTTATCCAAATATAGTGTTCTGAACAAATATTCATTACTATAATTTAAGCCATAATTCATTTCAATGTAATAACTGTCAGTTGATTTGATATCGTTTACCGAAAATAACATTACATTTTCAGAGCTAATGTAAAATCTCTCAAATATTTTATCGTTCAATGGCTTATTAAATAATTGACTGTATGTTGCATCAAGGTAGCAATCATTGTACTTGCGCATGTCATCGACTACTCTGAAAGCTTCACAATACCGGATATAATCCATACCAGACTCGTGTTTTTCGAGGTCAACCTGAATGGAC